TACCTCAACAAATACATTAACTTCATTTCGTCATTTAATACAAAACCACTCTTCATGACCTCAAAATCTTTGATAAACTGTGGGTAGTCAGATGCGTTTCCATCAAAACACTGAGGCTCGAATTTAGGAATTTTAAAATTTCTATTATCACTAGACGGCGAAACATGGAAATCAATCTTATCGTGCTTAGCATCACACACATCATTACATATAACAGGCAACTCATCATTACTTACTTTCCTGTCTGATTCCAAAATGCTTTGTCCTTTCTTTGGCCCAGGCATTATTGAACTTGACCAAACGATCCAGAAAAGTTCCGAATAACACTTGTCTTAAAAAGGCTTGCAGATGCGAGGAAAGACGAATTGACATGAAATAAGATAAATAATTCCAAGAGAATCATAAGAAACTGAAAATTCCATACTTGCACCAAAAATACAGTGTGGAATCAAGCTGTAAATCAAAAAATGTCCGGGTCTAACCACACTGGACTCCACGCTGTCCTAAGACAACTTTCAGGACCTATGCGCAATAACCAACGCAAAAACACCAGAACACAAATTGGTGACTCGAGAATCCTTTATTCTCGCAACAATATAGAGCTTACCAGTAGGTTAATGTATGTGTACGACTTGGGCACTGTGGTGGTAAATAATTCGAATTCACTTTGTTTGTTAGATATGACACACATTGAAACAGTATTTTTTACAGTAAATAATACTGTTTCGCTGTGTGATATATCTAATAAACAAACTAATGTGAAATAAGCATTAGGTTATTGTACACAAAGCTGATAATTTTTCTCCGTCTTCCAACGAACAGCGAACGATGGAACGATGACTGCAGTATCGACGACTCCTGCCAAAATATACATTTGGGCTTGAGCAAACAACCATGAATTGATCGTTCAATATTCAACTACATTGACAATGGGTGATAACTTATGAAGGCTTTATCATGCCAAAATTTGCGATCTGCCTAAAGTTACACCAGTACGTCTCCTAGTCAGAGGTAAGTCTGTAGGGACCAATGACAAAAATACCTAATTTCAGCATTTGAAAAGTAAGAATGGAACTAATGCACTGAGGTGGAGTCCGATTTCGTATGAGGTTAAGTGTGTTCAAAACTAGTGCATTACAATTATTTCACTTAAAGCGTGATTCCAATCCACGTGATTACTGGTGCTATCGTATAGTGTAAAATAATTGAATAGTTTGAGCTGTAGCAATCGCATTAAGATTTCACTCACCTTGAGTTTTGCCAACATTTACTTTCTCAGGTCTCATTGGTAAGTCAGGCCTCCATCTCGTCATGATTTCAAATTTAGTTTCACTCAGATAGAATAAGAAAAGTATGGTAAGCAGGATATATAATATATTTAATGAAAAATAATAACAAGCAAATGTCTTTACGCAGTTGTTTGTCGTAATTATTTTGGTGATGTCGAATTGCTGCGACCAGGTTGGCTGACGTTACCGGATATCTGCAAATAAGTGAATAAAGTGTATTTATTTGGACCGCTGAAGTAATATAAAAGTTAAACGCTTCATACTTGCCAACCTTTGCTGAAAGGTTCATTCTCCTTTCCCATTCTTCGGTCATGACAGCATTCTACTGTGGTTTTCACTGTCACGCATATTGTTCATCTTCTAAAGTATAGCAGCAAGCAAATAATAGTAATTTAATGTGTTGTATAACCGGGTTTTTACAAGAAATGCATGCCATTTCTACAGGCGCAATAAGTTATGTTATAAATTGCAATAGTGAAGTATCATAAATTAATACTTTTACAAAAGTTTAAACTGTCCAGTTATTGTATATGAGTCATAAGTGCACCTTCCATATACTTCATAGCCACAAGTAGTTCATTAAGCATCTCAGAATATCTTAGTGATCTGAAAATGAATAACTATTAAGACTAATATAACTTAAGTAACAGGTGTAGTAGTTGTAGGACGCAGCTGCTAGCTATTATTCGACAGAAAGCTGATACTAATTGTAAGCAGTCTGACATTTTAGAAGGACCATATATGCTATTCTTTGTACCCCAACGCACACTGATATCAACATATTCTGCTGCTATGTTAAGCACTGATCAATTGCGGTCTTCCGAAATTCCATGTGACAGTGTAAATTAAACTTGTACCACGTCTTCCCCTGAGCAATTTTAGATAGGAACTCCATCGAAACGGATATAATCACCAGGAAGTTCAGCAGCCTGTCTCATTCATCCCATGATCTCTTCCATGTGTTATGGAATTTTTTAGTCATCATGGGTGATAACAGAAGTGTTTAACATCCTCAAAACATACATCTAACTTATGTCCGTAGGCTATTTCTCTTTCAAATGCCCAATTCCCATAGAATATCTGGAATGAAAACAGCCATTGCCTGTGGTCACTTTAAAGCCGTAAGATCTATTACAACTCGCAAACAACAAAGCGGTAAGGCTCTAGAACTCAAATAATAGTCTTTCTACGCGAAATCTCTTAAAGAGGATGACTTTTTTTTAGTAATAATTCGTCTGGGCTATCAAGACAATTTTGCGCATTAATGCGAACAAAATACAGGAAAGCATTTCTTTTCTCGTCTACAGAAGCCTAAAACTAGTGAAATATAATCTATTTTCACAAAACTGAACGATTATAACGCCTCTATAGGCGTGAATGCGATAATTCATACAGTGTGCGAAAATATATCACGATAACGTTTATCCTCAGCCATGAGTGTGTCGTAGTCAGGTCACATGACGTGGACACCAACATAACTAGACGGGAAATGGGAATTCCCATCAATCCAGATAACATATAACACAATTTTATTAAAACTTATTGACAACAAAATTTCCGAGCGAAATTTTAACAGAACGTGATATATAAGACAGATACTTTTCAACTATTACTTTTAATTCAGGGATTTCGTGATTTTGTCATGAGTTACCTTGTTTGGAAGTGACAAAATTTGTGGCGACTTCTTTGTTTGTCGCTTCAGCGAGATTGCCATTCCTCAAACTGCGTTGAACACCCATTATTTGCGGCAAGTTCCAGAATATCACTTAAAATTCTGACTGCGTCCAGCAGACTAAGAGGATAGGCAGCTAACTGTATTCCACAATTTTTGGTATTGAAACCACATCGAAAGGAGTTTCCAACCACAGTTGGAGTTTGGTTTCACCACCCAGTGGCTGTATAGATCACCTTCTACATAGAAGGTTAGGATGTACTTGCTAAACACTATGAAAACAGTCATTACGACCATCAGGAAAAGCTTTCTTTAGTGCATAATAATGTTGTCTAACTATAAAAATAATAATAACCTCAGTGGTGAACAGTTTTGCATGTAAAGTACGCTGAAATCTTTTGATGGATTCTGCCTAACGGAAACTTTCGACTGGCACAGTCCTGCCTCCCGTGTACATGGAATCATCATATGTGATATGGATTTTCCAAGATCAGATTAGGGGAGCATAAAGTAAACACCTTTTTCGGTTCATGACTAGTGGATGTTGCTGGGAACGTCCAAGCAAATTATTCAGACGGCCTATGTTTTCCTCTATGGGCGTGCTTGCCATAACAGAGCTACACAGAGAAGTGCCTCGACAAACCCCCTTCTGTGTCCATCGCTTCGATTTGATTCCTTAAGACAAATAACTCCAGTGATATGTGCGGTATTGACTGGACATGATGAGGTAATCCTGCAAACATATTTGAGGAACGTTTTGCCGTGTTAATTCCTGTGAACTTCTTCTAGTGGCAGTGTATCTGAAAATTCTTTCGGCTACCTCGCTCACATGTGGTAGGTAGATACCAACCCTGGTTAGATCACTGGGCTATCAGAACTTCCATTAAAAAATGCTTGAACTGTTCTACACTTCCTATAGTTTCAATCATAAAATTGTATCAGGTTACCTCTACTTAAACTCGTGTGCATATTCATTTAGCTTCTAACAAAACGCTGTGTAATTCCTGAAAGAAATGGAGAAAACACATAGAGAATTGGTTATCTCTTTATATTTGAGAACACTGCGCCACAGAATATACTTCAGATTATGACTTTATAAATAAATCATGTATGAACTGGATATATTTTTGAACTAAATACACCAAGAACGTCTGTACTATGCATTCACATATTGTCTGAAATAAAGCTTTATTATTATTACTACGTCCTTATGTTAGCATTAAAGCAAGTTTTCTAGAACGCTATCACATTGATCTTAAGCACCTGTGTCTAATTTTCGTGAGAGAATGCCTTGACTGCATAGAGATATTCAAATACTTGCGAAATTATTCGCGTATCCACAAACAATCACTCAGTAAGTGCTTGCCATTATCGAAGGGTAAATGTATGTCAGCAATCAGATGTATCAAGATGCGCTGGTCGTTTTCTTCACATTTGACTGATTCAGGTCGTGCGAAGTACATCAAGTAGCCAATAGTCGAACGAGATATTCATAAGAGCACGAAAGTGACGGGAGACACAAAGCGGATATCTTAGGTCTATTTAGTAATATAGGCTTACTAAAAAGCTTGTATCTATTTCACTTATCAAGTGTCATTAATTCTTTATCTGTTAGCGTCAACCATTTATCGCCAATTTCAATAATTCTGTTTGCAGAATCAGACGAAGTGGCTCGCCTTTTTCCAAGGTGAGTCTTAGGAATTGGCCTTCTAGGATTGTTAAAATTGTTATATACCACCTGAAAACTTCAAAACGATAGCCAGTTAGCGTGAAAAATAAAAATAACATAAAAATAAAATGACATAAAAATAAAAATAACAGAATTTGAAAATCACGGCAAGTGTTTTCGTACGCTAACCGTATTAGTAATTTATTCATAAATTAAAATACCTTGTTTTAAAAAGGAATGTGAAAATGTTCTGGTGGAGAGAAAAGCCTACTTTTCATTTTCCAGTCTCAAGTGTAGTGAAAAAGTGTACATGTTATTTTGTTAAAACATAACATCTTGAAACATAGGTGCTAAGGGCAAATATGATTCTCACTTTCCTGTTTACTAGCATTGCAAAACGACCACGATGCATGTACTAAACATAATAGCAACTGAAACGTTAGTTCGATAGCTTCGTAGACTGTATTGTAAAGTTTAAAAATGTTATGTTATCCGCAGTGCTCTGATATCGCTTATGACAACACCATAGGGCAAAATCAAAGAAGTATCCTTCAAATTTTGAACATTACTTCATTCGGTGTCTACTGAAACCAAAGTAGACCAGTTATTCGACTTGTCACTCAGGAATAAACTAAAGATAAGAAACCATTTTCTGATTTATATTAGCTCACAAAGTAGAAATTGAATGCTAAACATCGGCCTTGGAGGGCTATTTCTTCGTTAGCGGGCGTTGCAGCGTGTCCATGCGCAAGTTTCGCGTATTATTGGGTTGCCCCTTAAAATTTAATTGAATAAGCTAATAGTACTCAGGAACGCTTAATAATGAATATAGGCCCGATTAGTGGCTTGCAAATAATGGACAATGAGTGGCCAGCACTAGGTGAGCTGAAGTTGGACTCTATTGGTTCTAAACGGGTAAGTTCTTAGATTTCCTTCTATACTTGTTTGTTAGTTTGTTACCAGACCCAAAGCCAAACAAAAATGGGAGGATTTGCCCATTCAACTGACTTTCTCTAGAGTTCACCACAGCAATGTAGCTTCAAGAGACCCTCTTCCCGAGGACAACGACAATATTGATAGAGATGATTTGAAAACAGTGAATAAAATTCGTAGAAGCTGTGAACTTTCATCACAAGATGCTCCGGGTACCACAATTAAGACACAGAGGACACAATTCAACTCTCGTTGGTGCCTATACGTGAGTCCGAATTTCGGAGGGGTGGAGATTTGCAACTTCGCACCTAGAACAGGTTTTAGTAGGTTGCTGTTTTTATTCTGAAGCATTTTAGACCCTCGTATAATCTCACACTACCGCCATCACAACCTACTAAATCAGCCCTGTATTGATGAGAACAATGAATGCACCTCGTGCGTAGCTGAAAGACTGTCGAGAATTAGGAACCAAATTGAGTATTATTTCGGTGACAGGAATTTTACTCGTGATCGATACCTCCAGGAGAAAATGACGGTCGACGGTTTCGTACCTCTGAAAGTCATTGAAGAGTTCCCGCGGATGAAACAGTTAGACGCTTCTGAAAACTTAATTATCCAAGTAACTTCCTTTTGCTTAGCTTATTCATATATAGGCTTGTTGTAACAGCAACGTCGTAGAAATTGACGCTGCAAGAGGGCTTATCAGACGCCGGGCACCTCCGTTAGAAATAACCAAGGCATTTCAAGGTACGTTCTTCAATAAACATGATGTTTTATCAATTCAGAATGCGTGATGCCTCTGTCACAGTCTCAAGCTGTGGACGGTGTTGCTGTCAGCGTTTCTGGTGCTTCCACTGGTAATTGTGATTCACAGAAACTGGATATTGGTGAATTGGGAGATTCAAGTAGTCAAAAACATGATATGGTTTCAGACTGTAAGAATGACATTGACTGGCTCAGAGTCGAACGTCGCCAACGTAATCGCAACAAAGCTCTGTCTTCACATCCAACTAATGCTTCTGTAAGTATGCTTTGACTCATTCCCAGGGTCCGGCGGAATTTTAAAAGAAAATTAGTTACTACAGGTATTTCCCCTGGTGTCGTTTTCTTACCCCATTAATTATTAATGGATGGAAAGTTTTCATTACGAACTCATCAGGAAATTTGCAGTAATCATAACTAAAAAATCTGCTTGTTCTGTGCTCGTTTGTGTCTGTCGCTTATAATATTCCTACAATCAGTTGGCTAAATATTCTGCTTAAGATTAATAATTTAATCAAAAATCAATTTAATCCAATAACAGACAGTGCGCTTGTGTCCCCAATTAACTCAAGAAGTAGTTTCGTTTTGGAAACGTCAGTTCATATTATTAAATATGTGCTGACAAGCTTTCGTTGCTTTGAACTCCTGTTGGTACGTCAGTGTGCGGCAAATTGAATACACGACTAACCAAAGTACTTAAAACAATATTAAACTCAATAGCGTTAGTTTCTCGTGGCTATTTCAGAGCTAGTGATTCCCAGCTTTATGTATATGAAAGATCTTGTTATTCTGGTGACCACAGACTCCCATCACACATTAAGTATATGAAGACCATTCTCAAAATGGGTTGTTTCGTATGAAAAATGACTATTTCTGAGTAATACTTGGATATGTCTACCAGCTTCAGAAACTGCTTCTCAAATAACAAAAGTACAAGCCACTTATCCTAGTTGATCAGCTAATGCAACATTCAGATACTTAAATTTTGTGTTTTTCCAAATGTTCATGTCACAATAGTCAATAAGTGTCAACATTTCCGATAGTTATCACCAGTCTTTAGTCACTTATCACAATCCTTCATGAGTAATCCTTATTTTCTGTAACTTCAGTGAGTATCACTTATTACTTACAGACTTATGTCGTTAAGTACACTTCAATTTTTAGGTTACAAGTCACCGTCAGAGGAATGAATCTTCGTGTTCTGAGCTTAGTGATGTCGACGAAGATGAACTCCTAAATTATCTTATTGTTATTGTCCCTGAAAGAGCTGGCGGCCGCGCTCACGACCAAAACACAGTTGCTTCAAAAGTCCATTCTGCGAAATCATCTCGTTCTTCTGAATCTTGGAGTGAAAAAACAGACAGTGAGTGTAGTCATGTGAGTGCTGCACCAAATTCTAGTTCAACTATCGATAAAAATCAATCTTCGCATGGGGGATATTCATGTAGTGAACACAGTGCAATTTCTTCCCGCCTACTGGCCCGACATCCAGGTGGTGATCGTCATCCAAATCCAGATTACCAGTCTCGGTAAAGAAATTCTTTATTTATGACTATGCAGTGTTTGTTTCTCGTGATAATTATCAATTTTTGTTAACAAGTAAAGGTGGGCATGTTTACTTTTGATTACTAATAATACCGTCATGTCAGAAAAGTGGATACAAGGTCTAACAATAAGGATAATAGAAATGCACCGACTCTTGGTTCATTAGCTGGTTGGTTTTCTTATTGTTTTGAAATGGAGCAGTGCTCTGTTTCAAAGGCCTGTGTTCCACTTCATTGCTTACCAAAGTCTTTGCGCCCCAATTTATTTTACTTCCTCAATTTCTGTGTGGATTTCACTTTCCTAGGACTGATTTCGTCACGTGATGCCGACGACTTAAGTCTTTGTCAATCGTGCCTCAAATGAATTACCATATAGATAATTTCTTGTCTGAAGTTGATCAGTGGTCTTTCTTAGACGACGCTGAGCTAAATCCTATTTCAGTAATTGCCATATTCCCATTTACGCATTTAGAAAAAAACAACAGATTTAGTGAAGAAATAATTTCCTTTTCAATTCGATCCCCATCATCGGCTCTACACTAATACATAGTTTTTTGCATTAAAATTTTACCAGACAAGTGGTTATTTTAGTTAATCAGTGTAAGGTATAGGGAGGGGAGTGAAATTAAGAGTCATCGCTCCTCCTATGACTCAAACCGATTAACTAAAATAACCACTTGACTGGTAAAATTTTGATGCTAAAAACTATATATTAGTGTAGAGCCGATGATGGGGAACTAACTGAAAAGGAATATATTTCTACTCTCAATCTATTGTGTTTTCTAAATCCTATTTATTTAAGTTCAAGGCGCAAACATGCCTTGTTTCTGTTTCTGTTCCATTAAATTGGTCTCATAAGCGACATCATTGCACCTAAGAATTTACCGCTTCGATTATAGTATTTGTAACAGACCTTAGGTTAGGATTATGCTGCACTGCTCAGCCTAGGGAACTAAACACTACTGATAACCCTCACACTATTATGACTCAGCCTAATGCATAAAAAACTCTTCCTGAGCAATCGATTTCCGATTCATTGAACTTTTCAGTTTGTTGCGTGTTCCATTGATTTGGCAAAATCTTTTGTTGAACCTACTACCTGAAAAAGCAAGCAGAACTCATTCTTCATATATATATATATACATATATATATATATATATATATATATATATATATATGGCATCGAAGTTTATTTAATAAAGTCATCTTGGGAATAAAGGACATGAGATGTGCGTTCAAGCTATTTTCAATAGGAGGCATATTGCCTTGCTATTCAACTATGCAAAGATAAGTATGTCGCAAATTCTGGTGCGCTCATATTCTTGATTCTCAATGCTTATACTGTCAGTCGTTTTCACACTAGTGGTGATAAGTCGATATTACTTCATCGTAGGAATAATACTCTCTGGTTTCAATTCACGGAAATTCTCTCAATTTTCTTCTTTTAGTGCCAAGATAAATGCGGACATGTTGCAAAGAATTCGTCTTGGTCTTGAAGACTATGAACAAAATGTTAAACGAGAACGTTATAACTCGATTTGCGAATTGGGTTTTGAAGACGATGTGGGAGAGAATAGTCCTTTAGAGTTATCAAGCGAATCATCCAATCACTCTGTTAATCGCTTGGAAAAGGTATGGTTACTGTTCTGTCTTGCGTATAAACTAATTTTTCAACATTAGTCTATTAATTGTGAATATTCAGAAAGATTTTAGCATAAACGAAAGCAGCATGTTGTTGAAATCATGGTAGTGATAATGCAGTTGAAATTATTTATTAGTATGATGATTGAAAAAGTGAAAATGTTTTCTACTTGCCTTTTGTGTTAGTACACTTTTTTGGAAGTGTATTTTTCTTGAAATTCATTTTTTTCTGCAAACTACTAGATGTTTTTTCTACTCTGTTGTATGCTTGATGAAGTTGTTCTGAACACCCAAGATCATTATTCTTTCCTTAAGTATTCTAAATCTCTATTAGTCTTTCATATTTGTTTGTCCGTTAAAGGTTAAAGGTGACATTTTTTTGTGAAAAGTGTGAAATGTGCCTTCCCTGTATTTTTAGTCTAGGAATTTAGTTTTGTTGATGTACATCTTACTGGTTGTATTAAGATAGAATTGCACTAGTTCATTCTATCGACCTGAAATTGGAAATAACACACTGGTACTTTTTATCAAGTTTCCACTACGATTCAAAATCCTTAATAAATTCACGCACCTCTCAAGTATAAATATAATTATTGAATTGAATTTTTGATTTTCCCGTCGATTGATTGGACCGAAGTGCTCGGTCTCAGGTTGACATGTCGGCTTCTTGTGCAGATGCTTCGACGATGTCTCACTATTTAATTGGTGTACAATTGGTGGATGGTGGCTAGCAGTGGAATCCAGGATGCGCATTTCGTCCTATTTGGGACTCGTCAGCTGGATGTACCTTGCTTTGGCGTTTGAAACTATGGGTACTGGGTTCGAGCCTCGGTGGGAACATCATCACTCACTGAGAAATGCAGGTACATCCAGCTGACGAGTCCCAAATAGGACGAAATGCGCATCCTGGATTCCACTGCTAGCCACCATCCACCAATTGTATATAAATATAATTATTTATAATTTAATGAAATCATTTACTTGGTTGTACACTTATGAACACATGCAAAAGTGGTTATACCCCATCAAGAATCAAAATACATTGGAAGGAATTTAATGCATTTGGTGATTATTATAGTAAAGGAAGATTAACGGTTTGTCAGACTTTGGTTGCTCTAGCATTCTGGGCTTTAATTCATACTCAACAGTAAGCTGAATTTTTTCGCCTAGTAAAAACCAAATTATACACCTTTCAGAACACATCTCGTTTAAAAGTTGCTGGAAGGTAATCTACAGCTAATGTTAATTTAACTGTCGTCATACGGCATGGTATATGCATAAGTAAAGGATGATGAGTATAAACACATCTTTATGGAAAAGCAGCTTCTTGAAACTAATTAAATGTCCACTTTTATGAATTACGTAACCTGTAATGAATGGCCAAAAATCTAAGGTCAGAGTCCCATGTGAGATGACCTCAATCGTCAGACACTAAACTGAGTGCTTCTTTTCTTGCTTCAATCAATACAATAGACACAATAAGTAAACTTTAGTCAAAAAATAGTTGCGAGCAAACACATCAACCATTTATTGATTTATCTGCATATATGACCTATTTATCAACCTTTTCGTTTGTCCTTTCTCGGAATTCTAAGTTGAAGGTTTGTTTCAATAAATCTGCAGTTGAAGTTGTTTTTCTCAGTTATAGCGTTATTTTTGTGTGTTAAAATTTAATCTGCATTGTTGTCATACAAATAATATCTTTTCAATGCTTTGAATTAGATCAACGTTGTTTCTCCAGAAGATTTTGTCAGTCTTAAAGAAGCCGCTGAATCCGGTTCAGTTGAACGACTCACTTATGTTTCGCTCGAAAATGTTAGCAATTTAGAGAAAGCCCATTCAGTTTCAACGCAATCAGAAAACTTTCAGATGCAACATACGGTTGGTTCTTATCCATCATTCCCTTTCTTCTATCCAAATGCGTTACCTCCTGAACCATCACCACTAGTCACTAGCTCTGTATGGATCCCTACTTCACCCTATCCATTCTTCCCACTTAATAGCGATTCCTCGGAAATCTGGCCGTTCACAGTTGACATGACATCACTTACACCCAGTCAGGCTGAGCAACAGTTGGAGGCGGAAAATGCAGTTGCAGCCCTTGTCGCTGAGGTTTCCAGAGCAGCTGTTGCAACAGCTACTCAAAATCAGAAATACACAGTAACTGATAAACCTAAGAACAAACATGCAGTGAAGCGACGTATGACTGGTTTTTATCCTGCGAAGTCTGCTGGTGCTTGTGAACGAGATGAATTAGATGTTGGTTTCGCTTTTGATCTTTCAGCGCGACCGTCAACCAGAACCGTAGAAAAACAAGTATATGGTCCTGTTGTAAGTACCTCAGGTGATAATAGTCGTAATCGAGGTCCGAAAACGTTAGTATCAATGGCAAGGTAAGTTTAAGTTAAGATTTTCAAGAATAATTTTTAACTAGGATATTGTCTAGGTTTAATCAATAATCTAATAGGCGCATCTAACGGGATTAAAGCATAAGATTTTCTCGCAATCTAAGCAGTATGCTTCAATTTTACATTACACATTATTATAAAAAGGCATCTTCAATGTATTGATGTTCGCCTGAATGTATTCAAGATGACAGTATACGGTCTTAAGTGTATACTAAAAGCGTACTTCTTTTACTCTACACAAGACGTAAATCACACTGTGTAAAGGATTCTTGTTGTTACCCTACGTATTGTTGAGCTCCTGATGTTTCATTAAATAAGCTATTGATTTATAGTTTTATTTAGCTTTGCAGAAACTCTCACCCAAATGGCAAGTTATTCCTGTTTACCTTGAATCTAGCATCACTGCATTTAGTATATCCCCATCTTCACTCTCCGACAGATTCTAGAACATAGGCATTCCTACCGGCGACCAACAATCATTGTATTTCGTGACCTAAAGGCGGCATTCCATTCTGTCGACCGAGAGGTTCTCTGGCGATGCTTGGCTGTAAGGGGAATGTCGAGAAAATACATTGCACTGATTAAGGCACTCTACTCGTATTCATGCAGCCAGGTGAGGGCTTACGGCGAGTTGTCATCTGAACTGGGGACAACTAGTGGTGTCCGTCAAGGATGCCCATTATCCCCATTTCTATTCAACTTCATCATAGATGTACTAATGGACTTAACCCTAACTCACTTCAGCGACTAAGGGATTGACTTGCTACCAGGGAATAATTTCGTTGACTTAGAATATGCAGACGATATAGTCCTTCTAGGCGAAGACTGACAAAATGCAGAGTCTTCTAAACACCTTGAGCTGCAATCTACGAATGTTTGACATGTGATTCGCTCCCGCCAAATGCAAGATGATGTTACAGGACTGGACTACATCGACGCCTAGTTTAAAAATAGGAAGTGAAGTGGTAGAGCACGTTGACCGCTTCACTTATTTGGGTAGTACCATCAGCCCCAACGAGTTGATCTCTGACGAAATCTCAGCCCAAATACAGAGGGCTGGTTTCGCATATGCCAGTTTACACCGACTATCGACCAAAGGGCGGATGTACTGCTCATCAGTCCGCTCCGTCCTCCTTTATGGTTGTGAGACCTGGCCACTGAGAGTGGAAGACATGAAAAGACTAGCTGTCTTTGATCATAGGTGCCTGCGTTCTATTTCCCGTGTAAAGTGGCATAATAAGGTGAGCAACATTGAGGTTAGGCGTAGAGTTCTAGGTAAACAGGGGAAATCAATCGACGAAGTCGTGAAGCTACAAAGACTGAGATGGTTAGGACATGTGTTACGTATGCCAAGCCATCGCCTCCCTCGACGAGCTATGTTAGCGGATATAGGGTCAGGCTGGAAAAAAGCTAGCGGCGGTCAAACAAAAACTTGGCATCAGTCAATGAAATCCACAACAGTTGGTCTAAGCCACGTAGGAAGGTGTAGACTTCCAGGCTGGGGTCCTCGGGACGGTAAAAATCTATGGTTGGAAACAATTGGTGATATGGTTCAAACTCGTTTTCAATGGCGCAGATGCATCTACTCCTTGTAACTTATGATTTCCAATGAAACTGTCTTGTTATTCGTTACTACTATTCCTTTGTCTCACACCTCTGTTTACTGTCTCTACTATGCATTTCTTCTCTTGCTTTGTGTGCTACATGTAGTGTGGCGACTTGAACTGCCGCACATATGTGTGCAAAGTTCTGTGTCGGAAACAGACAGACAATATATCCCCATCGAAATAATCCTGTGGGCTGATTTTCTCCATTTCTTTGAGTTTTACGTGCAACATAGGGCTTTAGCTTTGAAGTCTCGGTAGCGGTAAATTTGTCTTTCACGGGATGAATTTGCTAGCTTCACGCCCAGTTTCCCCTCTTTACAGGGCTTACTACTGACTAGGCGTGGTTAAGGGGTGCGTTGCTCGTGAATCGAACCTCGGACCATGTGCGCAGTTGGTCTGATAGTAGACTTAACCCTAGGTGACTTCAGCGACTCAGGGATTGACTTGCTACCAGGGAATAATCTCGTTGACTTAGAATATGCAGACGATATAGTCCTTCTAGGCGAAGACGCTGACGAAATGCAGAGTCTTCTAAATACCTTGAGCCGCAATCTACGAATGTTTGGCATGCGATTCGCTCCCGCCAAATGCAAGATGATGTTACAGGACTGGACTACATCGACGCCTAGTTTAAAAATAGGAAGTGAAGTGGTAGAGCACGTTGACCGCTTCACTTATTTGGGTAGTACCATCAGCCCCAACGGGCTGATCTCTGACGAAATCTCAGCACGAATACAAGGGGCTCGTTTCGCATTTGTTAGTTTACGCCGACTCTGGCGTAGACGAGATGTTCGACTATCGACCAAAGGGCGGGTGTACTGCTCATCAGTCCGCTCCGTCCTCCTTTATGGTTGTGAGACCTGGCCACTGAGAGTGGAAGACATGAAAAGACTAGCTGTCTTTGATCATAGGTGCCTGCGTTCTATTTCCCGTGTAAAGTGGCATAATAAGGTGAGCAACATTGAGGTTAGGCGTAGAGTTCTAGGTAAACAGGGGAAATCAATCGACGAAGTCGTGAAGCTACAAAGACTGAGATGGTTAGGACATGTGTTACGTATGCCAAGCCATCGCCTCCCTCGACGAGCTATGTTAGCGGATATAGGGTCAGGCTGGAAAAAAGCTAGCGGCGGTCAAACAAAAACTTGGCATCAGTCAATGAAATCCACAACAGTTGGTCTAAGCCACGTAGGAAGGTGTAGACTTCCAGGCTGGGGTCCTCGGGACGGTAAAAATCTATGGTTGGAAACAATTGGTGACATGGCTCAAAACCGTTCTCAGTGGCGCAGATGCATCCACTCCCTGTGACTTATGATCTTCAATGAAACTGTTTTGTATTTCTTTATTACTCCTTTGTCTCACACCTCTGCTCACTGTTTCTATTATGCTTTTCTTGTACTTTCTTCTCTTGCTCCGCGTGCTACACGGAATGTGGCGACTTGAACTTCCGCACATTTGTGCAAAGTTCTATGTCGAAAACAGACAGACAGACAGACTGATAGTAGACAGTAGTAGCCTGCATCTATCAGGGAAGTGCATTCCGCTTTAAGTTGGATGTAATATTGTACCACTGTGAACACAATCCTTGTGACTGCTCTTTGTCATACTACTATGGCACCTAAAAGTTTTATTAAATCTAAGATTTTGAAATTTCGTTGTAATTGCATTCTGTCGTTTGCAAAGTTTAAAAATGATTCTCATTCTGTAAGACTCTTTGCATAGCTTTCTTATCAGTTGTACAGTGATTATATAGTTTCTAAACTTGTGAAACCTTTCAATGTTGAGGAATTTTAACGATTGCTGCATCCAGTTAATATTGCATAATTTGCTAAATGTTTTCGATCTTCATAGTAATGAGTACTAGAAAGTGTTTTTTGTCTTCATTATACATTTGTGTAACCATACAAACTTTAAGTAATAGTTTGTACATTTATTGTCTCTGCATTGTTTTATTGCTAGTGACATTAATACATCTGGAACCACAGTAATCATCAGTACTACTTCAGCAACTAACAATGATGATGAACTGGGATTTACAGCACAAGACTCCATGAAAACTGCTCAACCGCAATCTTCTACTCAGAAACAGAATCAACCATCAACATTTGGGAATCACATGAGTCAATCTTATCTTAAAGCCAGTGGTTTGACTTCACGAGAGTATTTGCGCTATCGTTCTTCTTGCTTGTTAGATCGTGAAAAATCAGGTGCTGGACAGTCTCAGGAGATGAATACCTTGTATCGATTCTGGTCGTTCTTTTTACGGGACAACTTTTTTCATAGAATGTATAAAGAATTCAAGCATTTGGCTCTCGAAGATGAAGCGGCAGGTTACCGTTACGGACTTGAATGCTTGTTTCGATTTTATTCTTATGGTTTGGAGCGTCGTTTTAAATGGTCCTTATATAAAGACTTCCAGGTAATCCGTTGTAGTTTTTATTTCAATGTACTTTGAGCATATAGTGTGGTAGACAGTCAAGTTATTCTCACCTTTTTATATTAGGTATTTTTCTCAGTGTTACTGAAAATTTCAGCTTTAAGTAACATGTTAAACGTGTCAGTTTAAGCATCGTCAAAGAAGAAAAAAGAACTTGTATCAAATATTTATAAAATTGGTTTCATTACTCATGCGTACACCTAAACTATCCTCTTCATATCCTATGAGATTGTTGTTGTTTGTTTATCTTCATTTGACCTGAAGGAACAAGCACTGCGAGACTATAAAAATGGGCATCTTTATGGATTGGAGAAGTTCTGGGCATTTCTGCATTACAGTGGACGTAAGGTAGACATCAATCCTGAGCTGAAGGAATTACTACAGAAGTATCAGACAATTGAGGACTTCCGAGTTAATGTAAGCTATTTTCTACTTAAAATATTTAATTTTTAAATAACCACATAAATAATTTGTCTGTGAGTCAATCGATAAATTCTTTAATATATACCAAGTCGTGATTGCATTTGCACTTCTATATTACTCAAAGATGTATACTTTGTACACAAATATTTAGTTCACTAATTAATTCATCCTAATATAATAAGGAATCGTGTGAAACAAATAATACAGTCTTAAAGCCAGGGACTTCAGTATTGTGCGGCACAAGTTAGAATTACGGAAAATTACTAGCCCTACTTGCGAGTATCAGCTAGTATGAAAACCAAGTCATATTACGCTTTCTTTTGAACAACTACAGAATCACGTCTCGGATCTTAGTGATTATAATATGCTCTTAGTCTATAGTTTTCGATAATTACTTGAGACTAGGTCATTATATGAGCTACTGATCAATGCCTGTATACTTCACCTTATTTGACCACACGTGACCAGGTGGCAGGCAATAGCAGCTCCATCTCATGATTATCTGAATTTGAACTGATGAGTTTATGTCCTAGTTTTGCGAATTGTGAACAGAAAGTTGTGCACGTACTCACGTGTAGTCGTCTTTCATGTTTAATTACGCGCTAATATTTGTAATAAATATTTTGTTTTTGCGTCTGTTACGTATTAGTGTTAGTCGTCGATAGTCGTTCAAACTCAGATTCCTTCTTTTGTCCCTTTTAAGTTGTTTTACCGTTATTCTACTTAAAACTCAGCGTCTAAATGCCCACTGAATGTAGCAGTGTTAGTCGACATGCATATCTCTCGTAATTATGAAGTGACAAGTAGTTTTGCGTGATAAATTCAGTGCTATCACTTTTCATAGCTGAAGATCACAAATATATGAACTATGAGAATACATTTTTCCTGCCTATGGTTTTGTTTTGCTAAACTCCATCCAGTGTTCGACGTATTTTGGTCCACAAACAAAAATGATTTTATAAGATCTTCGCAAATGTATTGTTTGGAAAATATTTGTATTCGACAGTAAATTTGTTTTTACAATTATGAAATGAGTATATTCTTCTGTTTAAAACTTAATATATCTTGTATCCATTTCTATAGTTTGAAGCTCCTGATGGATTTTATGGTTACCGTAAAAGATTACCTTCTACATCAGCTTCCGTACCTGCGAATGTTTCTTATAATCCCACTTCTCAACCTAACGTTTCTTCGGTTTGAATCGTATGAAATGTCGTATTCTACGTGTGATCAGTCAGGCGTTGGTGATCAATTGCTTGTCGTTTAATAATGATGCGTTGCTCACTTTGTACTTAACTCATCTCCCCTCACAAAAGGTTTACTAAAGATAACACGCTTCTATTGTCAACAACTGATCGGGATATTATAATTCACTGCTGACACATTTTCGAGGTTTATTATTACTTATCTTTTCGTTATTATTTACTTAACCGTCATTTTTTGAGCATTTTACCAAACATGTTTGCTGCACTACAGACTCATTTTCTAAAAGCTTTGTTAAAACTTTTGTATACACCTTTTTGTTTACTGATGATGTGATAATGTCAGGCATACTTTATTCTAGAACTTTTTACATATTTAGATAAAAAATAGTCCCTCTTTTATTGTCTGTGTAATCGCACTGAAAAACAACTTGCAGCTATCTTTTTGTTATTCTAAGGTGTATCTTTATATGAACTAAGCTCTTCTGCCTTTGACAACTGACGGCTCATTTGGTTTCCCTCTTTGTAACAGAGAAGCCAGTCTTTGAAGAATTAGTCGGTTTGCAAATACCTGGGTGTTGCCTGGTTTTCAATGATAATGTGTAGTGAAGAACAAATCAATTTAGATGTTGGCACAGATGCATGTTCCCCTAAGCGGCTAACTTTCACCAGTCCCCAGAATAATAACTGTCTTCACATTGTCATGAAGAATTTTAAATAATTAGTATAATCATAAGGAAGGAAACTGGATGTTTGTCCAAGGTGTGTGAATCCGTCACTTGATATGTCATCGACATCCTGAATGTGACAAGAAATAATGTTGTAATCTTTGATGACGAAATGTGGGACGAAAATCTGGGGCGTAGTAAAATTCGGACTACTGGTCTGGTGCTCCACCAACTAAGCCACAAGCATCATCTGAAATGCCCAACTGTCACATAAATGAGTAACTTATTTGTACCCAACCAAGACTCCCATATATCTTGATCACACAGAGTTTGGGAGCAACTTGTTGGTTAGTGGTGAAACTGTTTGGGATAACCTAGGGCTGGGAACTGGCGTGACTCCTGCTTCAACATCGGTTTTCTTTTCTGCTTCACTCACACATCCATCCAAAGCTATCTTACATATTGTCACAAGAATAATAAGGAAGACTTGGTCACCTTTGCCAGCTAAATAGAGGAAACCAATGTTATAGAAATCCATGTCGAGTTTTGTTTGCCATATCCTATGCTTCTGGAATTAATAATTTTGTTAGCATAAATATCTGTGTCAGTGCAAATTATCCTGCAAATATCTTGCATATAAGCCAGTTAATCCTATGCTGTTAATCAAAGTGCGTCGGTGGCGCAGTGGTTAGGACTCTCGTCGACCGTGCACATGGTCCGAGGTTCGATTCCTTGCCGACGGACACCTGATATTTATGGTCGGCCTGCAAAATTTGGGCTACCGATATCACATGCTGAAAATTCCATACTTGTACCGAAAATAAGGTGTGGAATCATGCTATAATCCAAAAAAATAATTAAAAACACTCCTGGGGAAAGAGTTAGTAGTAGTTAAAACAAAACATGGAATCATTCTGTCAAATTGTCGACTGTTCATCCGAGCCACGTAAGGAGGTGTTGACTGGCGTACTGCAGGCGCTAAAGACCAGTGACTCGAGACTCAAAATTATTGTCAATAACCCAAGTACATTCACTCTATGAAATTTCAGATCGATTAAATTGTCATCATTCTCCATACTGTTAATCTGTCCCCCTACATTTGGACTTTTTCTCTACCTTCGTTTGCTTGTGAACTGTAAAAATTTCAACTGCTGTCCTTTTTGTGCGTAGTCCTACTCTAAAATCTCGGTCTATTTAAGCAGCTTGGTTTCAACTGTCTAAAATTTCGTTAGGTTGTTGAATGACTTGACTAGGATGTGTACGGAAGAACATTAATGGTGAGCCTTGCTGATGGTTTCACGCCAAAATAAACTTATCTCATGACACAAGGGCATACATTCAATGATATTAGATGGTTGGAGGCAATCAGCAGGAAGCCTTGGACCTAGGTTTCGTCCTAGTTGGCACTCACCAGCAAGGCGTATCTGCAACCTTGAAGGAACTCGTGTCGCTTCTGAGATTTGAACGCGCGTCACCCAGTGCTGCGGACTTATGGGATTTAGTCTGCATCAAACAAATGACTTGATACTTCACACTAGTTACTAGTGTCCAATCAAAGAGATTAAATTCACTGTTTCAAATTAAACGTCTTATCGATGCAACTCGGAATTCTTTAATATATTACAATTGATTAAATTGCACAACATTATGAGTCTCGCCTCACAGTCGTTTTCGATACGTCTTGTACAAACGATAGGACACAGCACTAAGCTCTGGGAAACAGTATCGTTATAAATCTGATTTAGCAATCTCTTATCGGTGTGAAGTCTATCAACACTACAAAGTGAATGGTAAAAGAATTCTTCAACTGATTGTTCGTTTCACGAGTTCGATATATAATTTCTTACCCTACTTTCAATCAGTGAGTTATTCGTCCGAACACTGTTCCACCTTCGGAGCCCATGAATCCAGAAAATATCACTGGCCTTCTTTCACACAATGTGTAAGGTTTATTGCCAAGTTCTTCGACTTGCCTGTTTTGTTAACTTGCATACGAAACTGCGCAGTAGTTTGAATTTTCCAGCTAAGTAAAACAGAACAGTCCTGTTTTGGGAAACCTGGGGATACGTTACTCTTGATAGGACTTAATTACATTTACACAGTTTTACCTAGTGAATTCAGAGTTGCCTTAATCACAAGGTAAAAATTAAGGGTAGCGGTGTCAAAATAAGTAAATATTGAAGCCTATTTTTCAATGAAGTGTTGAGGGCTGAATACGTTCAAACCACTAGAATACTAACTAGCTATTCCTGTGAGTTGATGACAGATAGGATCGAATATGTCATTTGTAAATCATTCAGTTCTAGTTGAAAATAATCAGTTTTCTTCGGAAACCAAGAATACTCGGATTCCATTTAAACGAGCAGCTTTATCGAACAAATGAAAAGGGCAAGCGAGGCAGTGCGTGTTACTGATTAAGAGGAATAATCGGGTACTACTCATGTACTGGCAATTCGACGAAGTAACTAGGTAAGATTCTAGTTGTTTGGGCAGACTCGGCTCTGTGGGCTGAATCTAATTATGTATACTGCTGATAAGCTTGACTCCAAATGAGTAATATGCTCGTTGACGGCTTTCTAACGTCAGGCTGGTACTCAGTTTTATCAAGGGATTTCATTGCAGGCTTTTCATGCGTAAATGATTTCTTAGACATTAGTGTATCTATTGAAAAACATTTACAGTTATTAGGGGTGATCTCGAGGTCAACTGTGATTTACTTACAGACACGTCTCTGTTTGTGTTATGCCCAAGTTATTTTTGTACTACACGCAAATGATATAAATTTATAAAGAAAATAATTGCATGGAGGATTTGATCATGAGCTGACATCAGTTAGAGAACCACTGGAAAACCTGGGAGTACTGGACAGCTGTTTCGTCCTAGTTTGGGACTCCTCAGCAGTACGCACCCACCGGGATTCGAACCCAGGACCTTCTGGTTACAAGGCGAGCTCGTAGACCATTGAGCCACTGGGACCCGATCCAATGGTCCTTGATCAAATCCTCCATGCAATCAAACAAAATCCCTACAACAAACCAATACTTAAAAAAAAAAAAATTCATCTGGTGCTCACTAGTGACTGGCCCTATTCAGGCAGTTAACCTGGGGTTCTAGTGGGAAGCCGTGACCAGTAGGGTACAGCAGGTTGAAGATGATGAGGCAGTAACTCATCGAAGAAGACATTGCGAAGTGGTCGCGCTATATCGTGAACTGGCAGAAGTTAGAATTCAAGGACCATTGGATCGGGTCCCAGTGGCTCAATGGTCTACGAGCTCGCCTTGTAACCAGAAGGTCCTGGGTTCGAATCCCGGTGGGTGCGTACTGCTGAGGAGTCCCAAACTAGGACGAAACAGCTGTCCAGTACTCCTAGGTTTTCCAGTGGTTCTCTAACTGATGTCAGCTCATGATCAAATCCTCCATGCAATCAAACAAAATGCCTACAACAAACCAATACTTAAAAAAAAAAAAGAAAATAATTCGTGATGATAGGATGGGAACTTTAACAGGATATGATTTGGTGGTTATGGATTTAACTATTTCTTGTGTTTCGTCAAGATGTTGAGTGAATTCGAACTGCGGCCAAAGTGGATGTTTTTGCTGCGGTGTTCTCTGAGTTGAACATTGGAATCCTGAAGCCCTCATTATTAACATGAGTGATGCTTGCACTATATAAAGTAATGATTCATCTGATAGAAGTTAGAATGTCTGAAGCAAGTTAGCCTGTGTGCTTCACTTTTAAAAGGTTACTAGGACTTGATATTATGTTCCCTTTTTAGAGCATGTCATGAAGTTTAGTAAAATCATTACTGATGGATGTTGTAAATCACTGTCACCACACCTCGACAGATCGAATAGACAAGCATTAAGGAATTATTCTGCAGAACAGTTATCTCACTCCGTTAGTGAGTCTGTAATCTCATGTGCCTTTATTTGAGCGTATTGAAGAGGTCCACAAAATAGCATACCACGTTGCACCTTTCCTCAGCTTGACACGCAAATGTGACCGGTAGGCATGCCGAATGTTATCAGTATTGCCTAACGAGGTTTTTAGGGGAATACGTCGTAGAAAACATATTAAAAACTTTCAAGGATGGTATAGAAGTAGTGAGATGAAGTATATTAACATATTCGATATTGTAAAGGTTCACTAGTCCAATGATTGGAAGAACTTCATTTTTTGCTTATTATTATGGATGGGTACGTCCTACATATACATATATGTGATAAAACATACTTGTAAATTGATAAACACAGTGGGGTGTGACACTATCGTTCAAATGCCGTGAGAGTTACGGGACAAGATAAATGTCGTTTGCTTCTTGAAAACTAG